ATACCTGAACTTTGTGTATCCTCTCGTACTCCATAACGAGATCCTCTCGTTGTATTACTCTCCTTCTCTTTTATCTCTCTCTCTCTCTCTCACGCGCACAAACGCAAAAATTTAGCAAAGAGAAGTCTTGAAAATGGTGGTCTAGAGAGAGAGAGAGAGAGGAAGAGAGAGATGTGAAGGATAGCTGGTAAAGTAGCTAAAAAAAGCACCAAGAACAGAGCTAAACTGATCTGATGATTCTTTGATATAGTGATGGGTGTGTTTTGAGAGAGAGAAAAAAGCTGGGGATAAAGGTTAGCAATGTATTACAGTAGTGTTGACTGTACACTTGGCAACTATCTGTAATTTTATTTTAATTTTTTTCAATATTTTCCATTTGCAGCCTAATCAATTTTTTGTTTGTAATTTTTTTTTTTTTCCATTTGTGGCCTAATCAATTTTTAGTTTGGCCAATTCGACTTGACTCTTTTAAAGCTCAATCTAGCTCGACTTGTTAAGATTTGATATCAGTTTGAACATTTCGAGCTTCTTTACTTAACCTTCATCCCATCAACATTTCTCGAATGATCTGAAATCAATAAACGGGTTGTAATTAGGGCTGCAAACTCGAGTCGAGCATTGATCTTGTCAAGCAAGATTGATTTTGTTTGTTTACCTGCTTGAACTCGTTGAGCTCGATTTATGACGCTCGAGATCGACTCGAAAAATGAAGACAATTACTCAAGCTCATCTCGAGATCAGTCAAATCAAAATGCTCGAAAGACTGCTCGAGTTCGACTCAAATTTCAAGTAAAATTACCATTAAGTATATATAATGTTGCAATTATTCATATATATATATATATATATATAATATTGCAATTATTCATATATATAAAGGATATTTTAGTAATTCACTACATATCTCGAGTCGCTCACGAGCGGATCGACCTTTCAAAATTAATGCTCGAGATCAACTCGATAACATGCTCGAGCCGAATTTTGACTTGAGCGCTCGTGGGCGGCTCTGTTTGTTTGCAACCCTAGTTGTAACATGACTCGGCTAGTTAAAACTTAAAATAGAAAATTTTATGTAATTTTCATGTAGTTCGATTCAATGAAATTCTAGTTCGACTCATTAATATTGATAAATGAATCATGTTTTAGTTCGACTCAAAGAGCCGAGTTCGAGTACCAGAAGTTCCAACTCGAATCGGCTCGTTTACACTCAAACTACTAGGCAAGTGCATTCCGTAAAGAAAATGGTTATATATAATATCTCTTATTATTATCCAAATTCATTCTCATTATTCTAAACTACTCGAGATTATGTTTGAATTAATTTTCTTTCACGGGTCCTTTTTCTCATTATATTGCTAAAAGAATTTGTTTAGAGCAATGTATGCAATGAATTATTACAGTAACTGAAAGTACTTGAAAAAGGCCAAATTTTTGAATTAATCTCAGCGGAAAAATGATTGCTGAAATTGAATTTTCTGTCACATTCAATCAAAGCAGAAGGGAAAAATACTGAGAAATATTATGACACATTATTAATTGGTCTAGTGTGACAAAAGCCTATTCATTTCTCCATGGGCCCAATTTAGAGTACATCTTTTTAAACAATTGTTATATAAAAATTAACTTTCAATAAGCAATAATGGCTACTTTGTTTGAAGTTTGAAAGATGGAGGTTTTGATAACTCAAGCATCTAAAAAGATCTCCAAAATTGTATAACACCATCCTTATCGGTGACCCAATAAATTATACCAGTTAAAAGACAAAAAAAAAAAAGAAAAGAAAATTGACAGCATATCTCGCAACCCAGGTCACATTGTGACCTTGGGTCGCAACTCGGTCACATGCTTTTATTTTATTTTATTTTATTATTTTTTTTTTTGCAATTATTAGATAAAGGGATGAGAGAATGAAACACTTGTCTCATTTTCATTGGTCCCTTGAAAATTTAAATGATAAGATAAGATAACTCAAATTATTAATATTATTTTATATTAAAAAATAAAAAATATCAAAATTCGTACTTTTTTCAATCTCTATAAACAGAGACTGCTCTTCATGTGTTTTGGAACACAATTGAAATTTCTCTCTTTTCACTTTTTTCTTAATCATACCTTATTAATTTTATCAATATCTCTTTTATTTTTCCTAATTTTCAACAAATAACATATGAATTCAAATTTTGAGTATTACATCAATTCTCAAATTTTTTCGAACTTTAAAATTTTTTAAAATTTTGAAAATTATTCACAAGAGTCATTTTCTCCGAATCTTACCCAATTTTCAGTTTCTGTAAATGCCCAACCCCCACAAAACATCTCCAGAAATCTATTTTAAAATGTGCAACAGACACGCACAAATCCTCAAGAAGGAAGAAAAAATATTAGTTAGAGTGTGGCGGAAGATCTTGCTCTAATTTCAGCTTGGTGTTTCGTTAGCGAAGACAAATTTTGTGCCAAGAATCAGAAGGGTTCTTTTTATGGACACGCATAGCAGGTATATTTGAACAATCTCGATTAGAAAATCTAGAAAAAAATTGTGAAAGAAACTTGGATTCAATGAAATGTCGTTATAAACGTCTTAATGAAAATGAAATAAGTGGAGAGGTGCATACATAGAAACATATATAAAGGAATAAAATGAATGGAATGAGCATGAAAGATGTTGAAAAAGTAGCTCATATAATTTATGAAGCTAGTGGTAACAAGTTACAGACTTGCATGTGTTGATGAAGCATCCCAAATGAGAATTAAAATTAGATCGTGATTCAATTCGTTCGCGTTTTGAAGATGAAGTGAGTAATGAAGAAAGTAATGGCAGTTCTAAAAAATCAAGGACTGCTAAAGATGGAGATTATTCATTTCACTCAAATCCAGAAACTCCAGTTAGTGATGATTTTGCGATTTCCCACCCGAAGGTAGAGATAAGAGAAAAAGAAAGGAAAAAAGGTAGCATCACAATTTTATTTCATTCCTGATGAGCTCACTGCAGAAATTCTTGCACTAAGACTTACAAAAAATTACGAATATAATTTAATGACCAAAGTATCGAACGATAAGATGGAGTTGGAGCGCAAAAAAAAAAGGCAGATTAGGAGAATGAATATGAAGATGTTGAATGCGCTGTTGGCCGGAAGATGAAGAGATGAAATGTCATTTAACGATAAAACATCAAAATTTTTGTTCAGTTAAGAATTTGGAAATTATTGAGAAGATTAATTATTTATTGCGATTAACCGAAAACCGAATCGAACCGACCACTGAATTTTTGGTTAAAAACCGAATCGTAAATTTTGGTTCGGTTTTCAGTTATGATAATGGACAAACCTAATAAATATAGTCTAAGAAAAAAAAAATGTGAATTAGTCTACATTGTTGTGGGTGGTGGTTTAACTGTCATACATTGT